TTCATTTCAGGTTTTGGATCTGTAATAATGCAAAGTGCTCCACATATCTATCTTTCCGCTCTTCCATTTGCGCCAGAGAAGTCCCTGATACGCAGGAGATTTATATCAAACTTCTGGAATGTGGGACATTTTGACTCAAAGTTGGGAATCAATTGGGCAGCACTGCAAAAGACTCTCCAAGGACACACACACTCAGTTACTTCAGTTGCATTCTCACCAGATGGAAACCACATTGTTTCTGGGTCAGATGATCAAACAGTGCGAATCTGGGACGCCCACACTGGAGCAGTAGTTGGAGAACCTCTTGAGGGGCACACACACTCTGTTTCATCAGTTGCCTTCTCACCAGATGGAAACCACATTGTCTCTGGCTCAGATGATAAAACAGTGCGAATCTGGGATGCCCACACTGGAGCAGCAGTTGGAGAACCTCTTGAGGGGCACACAGGTGATGTTTCATCAGTTGCCTTCTCACCAGATGGAAACCACATTGTCTCTGGCTCACGTGATGGAACAGTACAAATTTGGGATGCTCATACTGGAGCAGCAGTCGGAGAACATTTTGAGGGGCACAAAGACTATGTTAGATCAGTTGCCTTCTCACCAGATGGAAACCACATTGTCTCCGGCTCACATGATGAAACAGTGCGAATCTGGGATGCCCACACCGGAGCAGCAGTTGGACAACCTCTTGAGGGGCACACAAGCTTTGTTTCATCAGTTGCCTTCTCACCAGATGGAAACCACGTTGTCTCAGGCTCAGCTGATCGAACAGTGCAAATCTGGGATGCCCTCACCGGAGCAGCAGTTGGACAACCTCTTGAGGGGCAGACAAGCTATGTTTCATCAGTTGCCTTCTCACCAGATGGAAACCACATTGTCTCTGGCTCAGGTGATCAAACAGTGCGAATCTGGGATGCTCACACTGGAGCAGCAGTTGGAGAACCTCTTGAGGGACACACACACGATGTTAGATCAGTTGCCTTCTCACCAGATGGAAACCACATTGTCTCTGGCTCAGGTGATGGAACAGTGCGAATCTGGGATGCCCACACTGGAGCAGCAGTTGGAGAACGTCTTGAGGGGCACACAGGCTATGGTTCATCAGTTGCCTTCTCACCAGATGGAAACCACATTGTGTCTGGCTCAGAGGATAAAACAGTGCGAATCTGGGATACCCACACTGGAGCAGCAGTTGGAGAACGTCTTGAGGGGCACACAGGTGATGTTTCATCAGTTGCCTTCTCACCAGATGGAAACCACATCATCTCTGGCTCACATGATAAAACAGTGCGAATCTGGGATGCCCGCACTGGAGCAGCAGTTGGAGAACCTTTGGAGGGGCACACACGCTATGTTATATCAGTTGCCTTCTCACCAGATGGAAACCACATTGTCTCCGGTTCAGATGATGAAACAGTGCGAATCTGGGATGCTCACACTGGAGCAGCAGTTGGAGAACCTCTTGAGGGGCACACACACTATGTTATATCAGTTGCCTTCTCACCAGATGGAGGCCACATTGTCTCTGGCTCACATGATGAAACAGTGCGAATCTGGGATGCCCACACTGGAGCAGCAGTTGGACAACCTCTTGAGGGGCACACAAGCTATGTTTCATCAGTTGCCTTCTCACCAGATGGAAACCACATTGTCTCTGGCTCAGGCGATCAAACAGTGCGAATCTGGGATGCCCACACTGGAGCAGCAGTTGGACAACCTCTTGAAGGGCACACAGGCTATGTTTCATCAGTTGCCTTCTCACCAGATGGAAACCACATTGTGTCTGGGTCACTTGATAAAACAGTGCGAATCTGGGATGCCCACACCGGAGCAGCAGTTGGAGAACCTCTTGAGGGGCACACAGACTATGTTAGATCAGTTGCCTTCTCACCAGATGGAAACCACATTGCCTCTGGCTCAGATGATAAAACAGTGCGAATCTGGTAAGCCTCCACTGAAGCTGAAAAGCATGTGTAAATACCTCTCCTGCCTACAGGACTTCATGGCATTCACTTCAAGCATATGATGTTCCTCTACCATTGGAAGGGTATGTTTGCAGTTATTTACTGTCTTTAATATATTCTCAACCATTGACAGGATTTTTGACTCAACTGATCAGATTGTAAGCTCTCTTCATTTATCTTCATTTATCTTTGACTGTATCTGACTGCGATAGATGCAACCCCTGTCAGCTACACAGCCTCGCTTGGAAAATGGATGGGTCATAGATAGCTCTTCACATCTTATCCTCTGGGTTCCTGATTGGCTTCGCACTGAGTTTCCCCTTCCACTGTGGAATTATTGGCTTATTGGTCCTCATGGTGTTTCAAAACTACATCTTGATCACTTTGTACATGGAGAGCACTGGGTGAAGTGTTATAGAGGGGTCTAAAGAGGGTTTCGGTGCAGTGGGGACTAGCAAGTAGACCACTCCCTCTGCTATTGATTTTGTTTGTCTGAATGACAATGCTGTGACAGAGCTGTAGAGTGTAAGATTGGAGCCTGTTAAAGTTTTGAGCTAACTAAGTAAGATTGAATGCACAGAGACATCAGACATGACTTGCAGTTGCAAGGTACTGTCACATACTTGTCTTCTCAAGGAATAATGTTGAAATATGAAAGAGTTCTTTACTTTTTTCAAATTCTTTGGCCATCTGATTTGCTAATTTACGGGGTTTGCAAAGTTGAAACTTGCGGACTCCACAAATGATAGGCAAATGATGAGCATTTGAAATGATAAGCATATTTTATATTTGCAAACCCCGCAAATGAGATAGCAAATGCTTGGCAATTAATGAATTTGGTTACCATTTGCAAGGGGTGAGTGATCTCTGGATCGTGGAAGTTGATGTGTGCACGTGAGTGCCACTGATCCACATCACAACAGTGTTTGGTACCAGCGACATCAATGCAGCAATATGCCGGCCGACTTTAAGCCGCCTCAATAATTCAACAATAATTCTTCCTGGAGCGCAAATGAGTGATACCACGCCGTCTAGTTCCGCGAGACGATGTATCAACATTAGTGTTGCCGTTTAGTTTGACTTGACTCAACTCGACTTAGCCAACCTCAAGTCGCCTGAAGTTGCTCAAGTCAACTCAAGTCGGCCAAGTCAGATGATTTTTTGAGATTGGCTAGAATTGTCACCACATTGTTCAGGACCAACAAATCCTGACCAAAGCCATGCAAGAAATGATGCAGCAGTGTTTATTCTGTGATACACGAGGTTCCCAGGGGTATCTGCATAGTCAGATGCCTCAAAACCCACCTGCATGGTATAATATAGTTTTCTTGAATTCTGGATTTAATGAGTGCCCAAAAAACCGATGGAAACGCAAATGAACTCAGCGTTGGCACGTGTCATGTCATGTCACACTTGTGACATTTGGTCAGAAAAAAAAAGAAAACTGTTCCAATCACGCCCATTTGCCAAGGTAAACACTTGCTAAAAAAATCCCCGACTCAAGTCACTCAAGTGACTCCAAGTCGACTTGCATTGACTCGGAAGTCACAACCAAGTCATCAAATAACTCGGCTTGAGTTGACTTGGAGGGCTCTAAGTCGCGGCAACACTAATCAACGTCCACTGAGCGTGTTTTCGGTACATTTCCTGCTTCATTCTCTACGCAATTTTGATCGCATTTTTCCGATTTTTCTTCAGCTTTTTTGTCCGGAAAAACACGCCCGGAGGTGCATACCACTTTCACTCACAAGGCTTCATGTACTGGCGCAAGCAATCAGTTGCAGCGTGCCAACAAGACAAATTTTCTTCCCGCAAGCACATTTCAGGTACGTTTTGCAGTGTACTTTTGATCACATTTTTCTGATTTCTCTTCACCTGTTTTTCTCAGAAAAAAGCCTGCCAGGAGACAAACCCCACTGTTACTCGCATTGCTCCGGGCGGTGCTTTTGCGAGCTGTTGCTTGCAGTGTGCCGAGGTGCCACTGCACGGCACCAATTGCGCTGAGACGATGTATCGACGTCCGCCGAGCAAGGTTTCAAGTGCGTTTTCACTGCCTTTTCAGCTGTAGTTTCAAGGCTCAATTTACAATTTTTTTCCCCAAAAAAGCCCCGCTGAGAGGCAAACACCCACCCTCGGCTCGGACTTTCAATTTCCCATCTCCTTGTGGTCTTTGGGACTACCCCCAACATCGATTACACAATGTATCACCGTCCAGTGAGGTAGGTGTGTTTTCTGCTTGATTTAATTTTTTGAGCTGGTTTTTTTTCGTTCCATGTGGTACATATTTGGAGCTTCATTTTGAATGGTTTCTGATATTTTTTGAAGGGAAATGAAATAGGCTACATTGGAATCGTGCTCACCACAATTCACAAGAGAAGTCGGAGAGCAAGAAATCGGACCAAGATAATATCAGAACCCTTTTTGTGGGGGTATATTCGATGTAGCAAGAGAATACGTAGAGAGCGAGATGAAGTCAAGAGGAAGACTAGCCTAAGTATGTGACTGTTTGGCATCACCATGTAAGTGTGATATGTGATGAGTAAGCCGCACGATCACACCCTCCCTGTCCGTGAAAAAGTGCTCATGTCCTCGTCAAATACAACCAGAGTAGTGGTGGCAAGGTTCGGTTTGGAAATCGGTCCGAACCTGAACCGGACGCACGTTCGGTGTTCAGGTTCGACAAATGGTTGAACTGAACACTGCGTTCAGGTTCGGTGTTCGTGTCGTTGTGAGCTATCACTTTGTGATACGCTCCCTCCGTGGCTGAAAAAGGCAAACACGCACTACGGAACAAGCACGGAAAAAGGGAAGCAAGATCGCCAATACGACCTGACCTCGAATCGAACACGGGTCTCACATTTGTAGATTATGAGTCACTGTGACCTTTCACAGTACTGCAAATGCGCGCGCTACCAGTTACGCCACCAGGTCTACACTACAAACATCCAGGAATCGACAATCGACACCCACAGACAAATACTTGCACACGCTCCGTGACTGTGCGTAGGAAAAAGTCACCAGGACTTGCGAACACGGCCTGACCTCGAATCGAACGAGGGTCTCGCATTTATAGATTATGGGTCGCTGTCACTTTACACAGTACTATAAATGCGCGCGCTACCAGTTGCGCCACCAAGTCTACACTACAACACCCAGGAATCGACAATTGACACCTACGGATGAATACTTGCGCACGGGAAAAAACCACCTGGACTTAAAAACACGGCCCGACCTCGAATCGAACGAGGGTTTCACATTTAACTGATTATGTGTCACCCTCTTACAGTAAATGCGCGCGTTACCAGTTACACCACCAGGCCTACCACTGCAAAAATCGCCATGGTCCTCACGAAAATTAACAAATCGACATGATGCATACGCAGAACACGAAACGGGAAAACATTGCTGACACGGAGTACTGCCACCAGGCACGGAGTACGGAAATTGTCGCCACACGGAAGACACACATATCAAAGCTACGCAAGGAGGTACGAGCTACGGAGTACGGAAATTGGGCGCCACGGGCAGCAACTATCTCCCTCAGCACACGGGAAAGCATGGAGATCCCCGCCACGAGGCGAAGAGGGCGGTGTCGAAAGGGGTCCGTGGACGAATGAGGAATAAGGTCGCACGCGGCGGTCGGAAAAGAATTAGTATAAAAGCAGGGATGTTCGTAGAAGAATGCATCTTATTACCTCCCACTGCTCATACCAAAGCTACTCCCCCTTGATCATACAGGGTGAGAATCTAGTCAAATACATACGCGCTCAGGTTGCACCACCCTCTGTGGGACCAACCAAGGTCAATTTGGGCCGAAGCTTCAACAAGGAGGCTTGTCCGTAGTACTTTTTTCTGGCTCAATAGAGCGAGCCAGAGGGAATTGTAGAAAACATCGGCGTTGATAGCTCGCGTGGTTGTAGAACACGCGGCGAAACTTCTAAACGGCCAGCAGCCCAACTTAGCTGTGTGTAACCGTTGGCTTGGGCCTCGAACACAGATCCGTGTGCGGAGTACCACCCCCATCGTCATGGAAGGCTTATCCGATTCAATTATAACCACTCCACGATTCATTCTCACCATTTTCACCACACACGCACCCACGGAATTAAAACTCCTTGGCCGTACCACCACAGCGTAGAGAAAACCCCGGGTTACGAAGGACCACACTATAACCTGTACGCGTTGTGTTCAATAGTTCTGAAGACACTGCTTGCCTGACCTATACGAAGCAAGAAGATAAGAAAAGGGACCATATAGCCCAGGCATCTCAATACGGAACAGCGTTCATCTTGCGGAGCATTGCCCTTCGCGCAAGTGTAGAAACCCTCCGATCGAAGCTTTCCTGGAAGGCTAGCCCCCAACGAGGAACCTAGCGAAGCCGTTCATTCCTTACGGAAGGAGCTGTACCACCACCACCACCACACATAAAATACATAACACCCCGTGTACTACCGTAGCAGACGAATCTCCGCGACAGAGAAATTTCCCTCTAGAGGACAAACTAATTTTGTGCTTTTGCCTGACTATACCTCACCCGGTCAGACAACTCACGGAACCGCAGTCTGTATCACAGCAGTCTCTCAGTGCAATGTGTCGCTAAATTACCTTTGAATTGGTCTGAGGGAAGCAAAAAAAAAAAGGTGTGGCCAATATTCACCCAATATGTGGCAAAATATTCGTCCAATATTTTGCCAATGGAGCCTATCGCGTGGAAATATTGGGGCCACCATTATTTGCCCAATACTCGGACAATATTCTACCAATCTGCCCTGTATTGGCAGAATATTCGGTGCTGCGTTTTTGCCTCAAACTCCGGTGAGAGCCTATCGTAGCAAAATATTGGGGGACACATTATTCCGCCACTATTTCAGCAATATTCCGCCAATATGCCCTGTATTGGCGGAATATTTGGCAGCACATTTTTACATCAAACTCCGGTGCCCCTCCCTCCCCATGTGCAATGTTTTGAACCTGATTCCCCCTTGTCTTTGGAGAAATTTTTGACTAGGGAAGATGCAGACCTAATGCCCTGGGAATAGTATTGGGAAGGCATTTTCTTCAAGTACGTGTCCTGTAAGGTGGTTCTGCATCGTCACAAATATTGGTCATCTAATAAGGTTGACCTCTGATCAATGATAGCGGGTAACCAACAGACTACAACTTATGAAATACAAGTTTTCTGTTGTAGTGGCTGTTTATAAGAGACTATTAGACACCTGGCTGTTGAACTGCCTGTCCTCTTACTCCAGCTCAGTATAAATAAATAAATTTCAAATGAAACTACAAGACATTTGAACCTGGACAGATGAACCTTCTCAACACTACATGTGCCTTGAAACTCAGACCACAATTCACTCAACCTCAACCTCAGCTTCATCCAACTCCAGTTCAGTTTCAGAATCTTCCTCGTCCACCTTTGCTGCAGGCACAGAGAGCTCAACCAGATGGGCCAGGTTCTTCTGATGCTGCTCCTTTGCATCTTTGTCAACTCTGGACATCCTTTCATCTATAGCTTGAATTTGCTTGGTTTGTGAGGAGCGCTGAAAAAGTGGTCTTGCCATCTCCCAGAGCTCCACAGTCTTGAGCAAATCCCCATTCTTTTCAGAGATGTCTCCAAGTTGAATCATACATTCTGCTCTGCTGCGGTGGACATCCATCTGTGTGAAACCCTCCAAAGCAAGTGTGAACAGGGAGATGGCTGTGGCTTCATCATTCTCCTGGAGGAATATATCTCCAGTGAATTGCAGGGCCTTGTAGGTTCTGAGTCTCTCTTTCTGCTTGAGTGAGTGTGCAAGAAGAACTGTGCTCCAGGACGATTCATGATGACCATCTTTCCAACGGCTGACATCTCCCAGTCTCTCCAGGCAGTAGCCCACTACCTCAGAATCCTTTCCCCACATTTCTCTAAGGCATTTGCAAAACAATAATGTTGACATGTCCCCTTCCCTGAGATTGAGGTCAGCCTGAACCATGTCACCCGCAGTTGATAGTCTGACTATCCCAATCACTTTTAAGATGCTTTGGGCCAAATCAAGCTTCTTCTTTATCTCATGCGTTGCAGTCCCCATGGACACCTCAATATCGGCGATGTTTATCAATGAGGCTCCAAAAGAATAAGGTTCGTTGGCAGCAACTTGAGCTGCTTGATTATGCATACTGTGTGCTTCAACATATTCTGATTTTTGGCTCTGAACCTCCCCCAGCAGTATCCCAAGTGCGTTGCCTTCAGTACTGTGAGGCAAACCACACATATCTAAAAGACTTCTTCCCCTATCAGCCAACAATATGCATTGTGTGTAATTGCTTAGTCCTAGGCAGTTAAGTGCCTCTACACGGAGTCCACGTGCTTCTTTGTAAAGATGTCCTGTAATTCTGGCCAATCTGTGGGCCTCCTTTGCATAGACTTGTCCAGCAGTGTAATCACCAGCAGCCCATTCAATGAATGCAAAGTGGATGAACACATCACATTGTTTTTCATTGTTTCCAGTGGATTGTGCCAGAGAGAGTGCAATTTGGCCATGTTTTATTGCCATTGGGGTTTGGCCACAGTTGTTGTAATAAGCTGCTAGCGCAAGATGAAAACTGCCTGTGTAATATGTGAGCTTTATAGCACCAACATTGAGCGAAAAGCATACACTTCAGATTAGGATTATCAAAGTAGTTGCAGCATTCCTTGCCCTGAGTTTCCAATTCCCATGGATGGTTCAGTGGATGAGACCTTGCAAATGACGTGAAAACCTCAGTGATTACATAAACCTCCAGTTGGGGGTCACAGATTTGTGCAAGTATTGGACTGATTAGGTCAAGCAGAGATATGACTTGTCTATTGCCAACCCAGCTGAATCGGTTAAGATAGCATGCACAGTAAATACTGGCGATGTGAGGCTTGTGTTCGCGCTGCACTGCTCACACCGCCTCATGGCTTGTCTGGACGAGACGCGACGGCTCGGAATTCCCACTCACTCAAGATTCGCCCAATTAGGAAACGACCTTGCCTCATTCGGATCTACTTCCAACAACTCGTTACTCGACGATCCCAGTGTTTACGACGACTCGTACGAGCACCGAACCCGGCCAGGATGGCAACCAGGCACGCCAGGCACGCTCGGGCTTCGCGGGGAGACCTGACCACGCGCACCGTTGCGACTTACGAACTTGCGCCATTTCCGAGCCCCCATACAACGATACAAACGACTCTTGAACGACCCTCGACGGCAGGATAGCCATGTCTGCGACCAAACGACCATTCCCCCACGTCCTATCCACCATTATAACCTATTCCACCACATTCCGACGACTCGGAACATCGCGAATCCCTTACGAACACTCGGAAACGGTGCTATTTCGGAATTTCGACACCTCTGAGTGCTCGTGAAGCTCAACGTCCGCGAATATCGGCAGTCTGGGAGCTCAGAAATGCCACGGAAGGTCGAAAGAGGCTCGAGGAGCATGTGGAACGAGGCTGTGGACGCCGACGGGACGGACAACGTGACTGGCTTGGAAAAGGTATAAAAGGCGTCGGACGAATCGAGGGTAGTCAGTCAATTACTTGTGGACTTTCGGATTCAGTTCCTAGTCAGCTACCACAAGGAGACAGTTCCAGTCGAGGACTCTAGTCCAACGCTGAGTTCTTTCCCTGACCTTGTACCTCTATCCCCCAATTACATCCTCGAGTTGACCACCAACGCGCTTGTTCGTCACCACCGCCAAGGGACATCGTCTCAAGGATTTGCCTTTCATTTATACATTCGAGAATACTGACTACAGGTTACCGGACACCGTCAACGTCCCTTCCAAGCACTCGTAAACCGCCTTCGCCCGTCCCGAGCACTCGGGTCTCGCACACACACACACACCTTCGACCTTCGACCAACACACACACTCGGATACAACAAGGCAGACCACCTACAGCCTCACGTTCTATTAGGAACCAGCTTTAAAGAGCCCTAGAGGACGAACCAGCCACTTTGTGATCCCAAAATATTCGCCTAGTGGCACCGCGGTCCTTATCACACCGATTCCCCAACTTCGTCCATGCGACCCGACAGCGAAGAGCGAAGCATCACATCATCAACCAGACACATCCTCAGACCTGCCAACGAACTATCGCCCACAATCACTTTCACGGCGTTCTTCTCC